ATCCAGCCACCAAGCCAGAAAACATGAAATTAATTATTACTGTACCCTTTATTAGTCTAGTGGTGGATTTGGTAGTGTTAGGTAAATGGTTGGACTTGATGATCTTAAAGGTCTTTTCCAACCTAAATGATTCTGGGATTCTGTGATTCTATCCTGCTGACAGCACGGCTTTGCTCAGCCTCCAGCAGTATTTCTGACCAGCATGGACGAAAAGGGTGGGAAAACAAAGAGCTTTTCTTCAGGTAGTCTTGTAACCTGATCTATAAGGTGACTCAGCCTCTTCTAACAACAGCTGTTTCAGGGACAGGCAGTGGTTAGCGTGCAGTATCGAACTCTGTGCTGCCACTTCCTGATTTCTGCTTTGTGAGTGATCTGAGCTGGGACACGATCAGAGCATTTAAATGGATTTCTCAACCTCCCCCCAGAAAAGAGAGGCCAGGGACAGCAGGCTGACATCGGGAGACAGCGCAGAGGAATAGAGGCATCAGGAAAGAGCCCACAAACCACTTGTGCAGAGCTGCTGCTATCAAACTGATGAAGATGGGAACTCTTGAAAGAAAAGTATGTGGAAAGTCCTGTTAGGGAAAGAAGTGAGGTTTTGCTTGCATGTCATGGCTCACTTCTCCTGCAAGCCCTGAAAGTGCTGTACAAGGTGAAACAGATCCTCAAGTGTACCAATGGAAGAGACAGGTATGTTTCTTTGTCTGTTTAAAATAATACCGTTCTACAGCATGAAAACACAGCCAGGCTAACCCGCATTGCTTTACAGCTCAGTAAATGTGCATGTACGGCTATGTACATTGTTTTGTATAATTTTTGTACTTTACTCATAAGAGATAGAGCTGTGACAGGCTATTAAGAGCAAGACTAAACAATGCATCAGCTTTTTGTAATTGTAAGTGCTCTGCCCTTGAACACTTGTATCATGGTAGATAACTTCCAACACAGTAAGAAAATTTACATACATATATATAGATACATCAGTATATATAACCACATTTTTATACACACACACAAAAAGTAAAGTTTGTGTGTATAAAAACTACATTTGCTTTATTTTAACATTTTCCCCCAGACCTGACTCTTGGTATAATAATATGAAAAATATCTGTGAAATGCATAGGGTTTCTGCTACTTCTTCACATGTTTCTCTTTTTTGGAAAGATGATGCCAGTGACATTATATATAAAAGACTATCATTAAAATGATCGAGTTCATGTGCTCTATGGATGGTGGAGAATTGTGGAATGAGTTCTGTGTGTGGGTCTGTACTGGGGAAGGAGGAATCTGTGAGAGCACAGAAATCCATTCATGAGCTCTGGTGTTTTACAGGACCGAGGTCTGAGCACAGGTCATTCCCCCTGCAGTCAACAGCACACAGTAGTACTTGATACGTAACTTTTCCTCCTAGTCCTCACAAAGCAAAAGTCAATGAATGTCTGCTTAGTTTTTATGACTGATTGCACAGTTAAAAGCATGTGTGTGTGTGAGAATGCTAAAATTAAAACTGAAGAAAGAGCATTAAATTAATGTTTAGAGAAAAACAAAGCAGCTTCAGAATCACCAGATGATGCTATAACTTGCGTAGCATAAACAGCAATAAGGAAAGAATGTGTATAAATTATTATAAAGTCAAACTTTAATTTACCTGTGAATTAGCCACTGAAACTGAGGTCCCTATAGTACTGAACTGTTCCAAACAAGCTATCTGGGGGCCTTGTTTTCTTCCAGCATTGGCACACTCCCAGTGTTCATAGCTACGATATCTGGTTGTTTTCTGCACTATCACTTCAGCTTTGCTCCAAGGTTAATGAGGTTTCGTTTGCATGTTCCACCCTGAATTTGGGAGCCTGTGACATTGATCAGGCAAGGATGTCTTTGTACTCCCTGTTGCCCACCTCCTCCTCCTCTCACCTTCCTGACTGCCGGACTGGTCTTTGGCATGAAGAAGCACTTTGGTGCCAAACTTAACCTGGCTTCCCCTCAGAACGGGAACACCTCAGCATTGCTTTTTTAATGTGGCCACAAGACTCTGAACTGAAGCTGGGGATTAAGTGACAGGGGAAGCAGCAGGTTAGCCCTTCAGCGCTCGGTGGCCAGGTGGGGTGGCCTTAGGAGCAGTCTGCATTAACAAGGCAGCAGAGAGCGATACTTGTACCATTGAGAACGGGGACCACTGAGTCTGCTGTGCAAATACTGAGCATGACCAGTTCCTCTTGAAGGAGGAGAAATGAGTCCAGAGTCTGGTCCACTAAACAGTGCTTTTCTGGTATAAGCATGGAAGGAATGGTAGGAAATTCTCTGTGCATCTGCCATTATGAAAGAGGGTAAGCAAGAGTAAACATTACTAAAACTAATTCCTTCTATGTCTGCTGATCCCCTGACAGATGACATTCAGAGCTGCCAGGATAAGCATGAAGAGGACATCCCAAAGAGTTCCCTATTTGACTTTGCTATAAAACACTTCCAAGGGAAGAAGTCCTCTCCTGAAAAAAGAAAAGAGCAGCCTTCAGCCATTCAAAAATTCTTCAGGGGCTTTGACTTTGGGAAATCTGAAGGCAAGGACAGAAAGGAAATTGAAGATACAGAAATAAACAACTGTGAAGGTGATGATCAGAGTGAGAAGGAGGATCTCTCTGTAGAAGGTAATGCTGGTACAATAATGAAATATGTGTGCATGTGTATGTATTTTAATTTCATAGAAAGTCAGTTGCTTTTCTTGCTAGGCAAAGTGCTGTATTTTCCTGCCTATAGTTTATACCTTAGACAGGATTTGTTTCTGACTGGAACATTATCAAGGATGTGCCCTCTAATTTGATAGGTGCCAAGCAAGGAGTGAGATTGATGTCGCTGAGGAGGGATAAAGCTTTTGGGTGACCTCTCTCTTGATCTCCAATGTGAGAGGTCATGCTGGAGTCGGCTCATTAGTTGCAGAGCTTATTTGGTTTCAAAGCCAAGCTTTGAGCAGTAGCTTGGCTTGTTGTATTTAAGATTGGTCTCTGTCTGCCCTGCTGCTAAAGCAATCTGAAGACAACAACAAGAGCAGATGTTTCCTACCACTTGACACTGTGGAGGGGGAGGGGAAAGGAATGGAAATTCGTCATGTGTTATTTTGCACACACAAGAATACTCTTTACATCCACACCAGAGAAAACAAGGCTATTTTTAAAAAGGAGCTGGAAGGTAAGGCTTAGACTCCATCCTTTGTCCTAAGAGTTTTGGGTAGGTTTGGGGAAACAATGAGGGGACAGGTACTGAGAGTGGGATTGCTATTTTGTGTAATTTTTGGCTGCTTTTTTTCCAGTTATAGGCAGTAGGTGAAATTATTGATTTGTTAAAGGGTTTAGCAATGAATGGCAATGCAATTTTCCTTGCTGTACAAACTGCATGGAAGAAGAAGGTTAAGTGGGGGTTGCTTTCGTACACAGACAATGTATGAAAATTAACACAGGCTGTCATGAAGGAAGCAGCAGGCTCAGCACACAATTGCAGGGCCACTCGGTGCTAACTGATCAAATACAGACTGTATTGCAGCAGTGTGGCTGCAGTGCAGGCACACAGAGGTCGTTACATGACTTGTGTATCCAGAATAGCTGCAGTTCAGAGTTTTGTGCGAGCTTAATGTCCTGGAACTGGTGGTGCAAACACCCAAAGTCATTGGCATAAGGTAGAGTGGAGATGTGCAACAGGAAATTCTTTTCTCGCTCTGCATCAGGAGCTCTGTAGTGATCTGATCTATAGTGATCTTATTACTCAGGCTATTGGTCCATGCTGATCAAAAATAGAGCCCAGTTTACTGGCAGATTTAGTTAATTTGCTAAAGTCTTCACCCAACAGCCACAGACAGGTTTTACACATTGTGTTAACAGCAGAGGTAACCAGGGCCCTATTTCTTTGTTACTCAGACGGACTTTCACATCTCATTTCTGAAGCGGAGTCACCATCTGGTGAGCAGAGATTTAACCAGTTCATGCAGAAACTGGGCAAGAAACCTAACAGCAAGAATCTGGATCTAAATAACTGTGCATTAACTGCAGCAGATGTATCGGAACTGGGTAAATACACATTTTATTCAACTAGTCACTTCGTACATTTCTTTAATTCTTATTTGCCTATTCAATTATTCACTCTCCTCTTTTCTCTTCCCTTTCTTTTATACAGGCCTAGCTTTATGTAACATTTCATCTGGTGGTCCCAGGCCCCTGAGAAATGCTAATTACTAAATTCCATAAATTATGTAATATATATATAAAAAAATCATAGAGGTCTGTGAAGCAGATGAATGTCCTTACACTCAAACTACCGATAAGAAAACTGAAGTACCAATTGTCATGGCTTTATAATGCTACATTGGTTGTAGAAAGCATCTCTGTATTAAGATATATTGACATCTAGGGTGTGCAGATAACATGCAAACAGAATACACTTTTTCTTTTCTTTTTTTTTTACAGCTTCTTTACTGCCATTTCTCCCAGAGCTGGAAGAGATCAGCCTGTCCTGGAATGGTTGCGTTGGTGGGACTTTGAAAGCTCTCACTGTTCATCTTCATCATGTGAACCTGTTAAAAGTCCTTCGACTTAACAACTGTGGGCTGACAGCTGAGGATGTCACCTCCTTAGGTACAGGTTTTCATTTACATTTACTTCCAGACAGCTTGGGTCTAACGAAATCCAGCTCATCTCTTCCTACATCCTACCCCTGCTGCTTCCACACTGGCAATGTAAACTCCTGCTGTGAGACAGTAGAAAGAACATGGGCTTATGAGTGATCTCACACATTTTAGTAGCTCTGCCGAGTTCATTCCTCAGGGCATGAAGGTTTCACATTCAGAAGGGAACTGAATTCAGTCCTATTTGCAGGAAAGTATGTTTTCAATTTGGATTAGTATTTTTTTGGCTAGTTTTCATATCTAATGGTAGACAGAAGAACCGAAACAAACCAAGTCAGTCATAATAGGGTCAGCTTAGGTCTTCGTGCTGCAGGACAGATGCAGTGCTCAGCACAAAAAAACGAATGGTCTTTTGGAGAAGACTTAAAACCAGTGCTGCCTTGGAGCTTTATAACTTGTTTTTGCAAGTCTGGGAGAAGCTTATTCCTCTGCGTACTTCTTTGCTTGGAGTGCCTGCAACCCTGCTTTCTGCAAAGCATGAGATTTAAAGGTTTTAAAGTGTTATGCCCTCAGGTTCTGACGCTGAGTCACCTACCTCTGGGCCTGGAGTTTACTCTGGGGCGGGTCTGTGGTATGTATCTAAAAGAAGGGCAAACTCAATCAACTAGGAATTCTAAAAAACTGCTGCTTATTTTGCAAGTTCTGAAACCAAGTCTGAGTTATAAAGCTGGATTTTATGTCATTCATATCCAGGCTTTTTGCAGGAAAGATTCAGAAATAAAATTACATATATGGTGGTAGCTCAAAAGTGGGTCATGCTATCTGTTGGAGAGGAAAAATGCATCTCTGCAAAAGCTGGTGAAAATGATTGGTCTGTTTCTGATGAGGCTAAAATCCGTGTTTCATTTTCTATCAGATTTTTTCAAATTTATTTCATTCTTTTTCAAACCCTTTTCTCATACTTTTTTTTCTCTTGAGTTTTATTGGTCATATTTCCAATTAATTTTTTCTGCCTGGTTCTTCTGTGCTGTTTTCTTCCCACTTCTGGCTTGGCCTCTGCTGAGACAGACACAAAACTGATCATAGGACTTGAATTTGCAGTCAAAATGTGATGCCCTTGACATGTGGAATAGAAAAAGTCAATTTGCATTGATTTTGCCTGCGATTCTGAAAATAGCACGTGTATTTAGGCCAATACTGCCTGTTTGACTATATCCACATCTGTCTGTGGAAATGTGGCCACTTGTGGACTCAGTCCATTCTTTTTAGAAATCAATGCCTCAAATGTAACCATAATATCACCCTCTCCTATGTGATTGCTCAGAGCTGTGACTGTGAGAGGTGGTAGAAAACCATTTCTGGAGTTATAGTCCTTTATTTATCTTCTGGGTGGAAAACGTGTCTGGAATGCTAGTCCCCATGTCAAACAGAAACAGGCTATGCTGCAGAGGCAAACCCAAACTTCTCAACTGTAGGGCATTGCTCAGTATTCAAGACTGAGGCAATCATTTAAAATAAATGCAAAAGGCTAATTTTTCTGAATGTAATCAAAATCAGTTCTGTCTGCCTTGAAATCATGGGGAAGTTAGTTTGGGTCAAAACAATACTCATCTTGATTCCTTATGAAGTGAGTCAGAAAATCCTGTTAGAAACGAAACTTCTAAGTTTCAGAAATAGCTGTGAGAGGACTTCCTTCATCTCATCCAAAATGACCAGTAGACACAGTACAGAGGGTGCTGGAAGTTTGCCAAATAAAATAGAGCAAAACTATACAGGACAGTAAATTCAGACTTGTCGCTTGTATTGATTTCACTATCGACTAGACTTGCTGGGTCCTGGCACAGGTCTACAGGGATGGCCAAACAGTCTGTGTGTGCTGTGACGATGACTTGTGATCTATATTGCTCCTTAGGCAAGGTGAGAATTTATACAACATTGCTGCAGTAGCAACAATTCATGGCATACACCATGAATTCCTGGCAAGCCATACAAAATATAATAATTTGAGAATTAAGTGGCTAATCTTCTCCTTTAATATATTCAAAACCTGTATTTTTGTCTTGCACTGAAATTGATACCTAGAATGAATCATCTTAGACTTCTGTTACAGGAGAGGCATTTGAAATTGTTCCTCAACTTGAAGAACTGGATTTATCGTGGAACAGTAACATAGGTGGAAAACTATCACTCCTGACAAAAAAACTCCAGAAAGGATGCAAGATAAAACTTCTGAAAATTACAGACTGTAACCTGACAGCAAAGGATGGAGAATCCCTTGGTATGTGTATCCACATAGCTGGACTGAGAGGCTGGCTTCACAAAAATGTAAATTGTTTGACTTAGATTGTGGCTGTATTGAGCTTAATATTAGTTGAAAGTTAATTTATTTCAGGCTCTGCATTATAATAGTATTTACCACACAGTATTGGGATTTAATGTGCTTTCTTCCAAAGAAGAATGTTGTTCTCTTTAATTGTGTGAGGTAGGGTTGAGAAGAATAACAGCTAGATCTAAACCACAGTCTGGCTGCCTCAGTGGTCCAGGGTTGCTGGATCCTTTGAGACTCTGAGCAAGTCGTGTGCCAGAATTTCCAACACTGATTGCTTAAAATTAAGCAGCTGAATATGAAGTTAGCCATGGGATGGGAAAGAAGGCCTGAGGGATGGGAACCTGGGCTGAGTTGGCAACCACTGATCACCCCTTCCCTCTTTCCTCTCACCATAGCTTAATCCTATGTAGTCTTTTGATCTGATTCTGTGTTTTAAAAGATATTTTCTCGCTAAAGAGAAGCCCCTGTGCTCTCATCTCCACTGCAGGAGACAGCCATATGCAACATACAGTCCTGTGTCTTTTCATTAGAAATTTTTCTTTCTCTTTGTATTCCTGTTCTTTATTCCCTGTATTTTTCTAACTGTCCTTGTATTTTTTCACCTTTATTTTCATACAGATTTTCACTGATTTCCTTGATTCCTATCCAATCTTTGTTTTGTTGTATTTTTGAAGTAGAACAGGAACTTAGTAAGTCTAAACCACACATATAGGCAAACCCAGCCTACCTCTTCCTGTTTGTCATGGTGCTATATTTTTCTAGGGTTCATGTGTGCATATTTCAGACAATTACCAATTCTGGTTTTCTTTTCTTTTTTTTTTTCCCCAGCTGAAATTCTAAATGTGATCCCAAACCTCGAAGTGTTAGATCTCTCTATCAACAAACACATCGGCTGCAGCATGAAGGTTATTGCTCAGGATCTGAAAAATGTGCCAGGCTTGAAAGAGTTAAACTTGCACATGTGTGGATTAAAGCAAGAAAGCCTCCAGGGCTTAGGTTAGACTTTATGTTCAGAAAGACTTTCATTCTGAATAAATTGTACATCTGAAAACCATTTAAGAAAGGCAATGAGGTGGGATTTTGCTGATGGTTTGGCAGTATTAATGGGCAATCGTTATTTGCTGTTTGAGGATTGATAAAAGACTACAGAGACTTTCAGCAGGGGGCGCATTTAT